TGAAACGATACACATTTATCGTAATAAATCAAAAACCGAGAATTGTCCCAAAAACTTATTTTTCCTTTCAATTTATTACATATAAAAGAATGAAAACCGAAATTTAACCACATTGAAATTCCCTAAAGTTTTAAATGTTTAAATAAACGATTATTTTTCTACTTTCATAAATTAAAATTATTAAAACTATTTTAAACATATAAATAGTGTGAATTAAACAAATTTATAAAATAATTTTAAAAGTACAAATTAATAGAAATACTAAAAATATTTTTAAAATAGAAAATATTTTCATTTGAAGGTTCAAAACTTATGAAAGATTTCAATGACATTTTCATGATTAAAATTTAAAGCAAATAAAAAATTTTCCCAAGTATTTTTGAAATGAAATATATCTTCTAAAACTATAAAAGTTACCTATAAATAAAGAATGTAATAAATACTTTAGTCACTTTATTATCACCGAAAACCAACCGAAAATCCCGTCGTAATCCTCTAGCAGACTCTCATAAAATTTTAAGACATTCCTAAATTTTGGGAATAGAAATCGTAATTTTCCATATATATAAAGATAGGAATTCGTTTCAAATATTTCAGATTTCATCTTTATTCTCAATTCAAGGGAATTGAATATAATATCAGAAAGTGCGTATAAAAAAAATTTTGGAAAAAAAACCAAAGAAGCCATAATATTTTACAATATTTGTAAATCTATTTTATGAAATTTTATACGAAACTATGAGAAAATTTCAATTTATCAAAATTGAAATTGATTAGAAGAGTACTTAAAAATTTCACACATGAACACTTAAAAAAAATAATTTCCTAAAGTTTTAGACATTCAAATGAATTAAATTTTTAACTGTTTAAATATTTTTTTTAAATTATTATATTAAAATGAAAATAATAAGAAATTAAATATTTACTCAGTTAAAAGTTGATTTTTTTAAATACAGAAATTAATTTTTCTATTAAAAAAAACACAAATTAAGTGAAGAAACAAAAATGTCTATTTATTAATTAATTAATTAATTAATTAATGTCTATTTATCTGAACGAAAAAAATAGGAATGTAAAAAAATTTCTTTGATATATGTCCCTAAAATTCTGAATAAATAGATTTCTTTCTTTTTTAATTTCAAGTTTCATTATAAAAAATATTGGGTCGTCGTTTAATTGAATAAAATCAATTTTTTCAGTGCATTTAAAAAATAATCACAAAAATTGATCAAATCGAATATTGAATTTAAAAAAATTATATAACAATAATACAGTCGAACCTGTCGGAATGCAACTCTTTTTTTTAAAATTTTTTGGCCCAATTTTTATTTTCACTTAGTTCCAGAATTTTTATACATGAAAATTAAATTATGAAACAATTTTTAAAGGGTTATTTACTGTAATAAAATTTTAAAAAATCGAGTTGCATCCTGACAGGTTTCACTGTATATAAAAAATATAGTGATAAAAAAATAAATCTCGACAAACGATAAAAATTACAATTCAGGTAAAAGTTAAAATTATAAAGTAAAAATTACTAATTAAAATAGAAATTAAAATGAATAAAAATTAAAATGAAAAGTAAAGTAAAAAATAAAATTAAAAGGAGAAAAAGACACTTAGTACGTCAAATTGAATAAGTTGAAATAAATTTTATTTCTCGGGTTTAGTTTAACGTTTCTAATTTGGATTAAATTGCATTTTCGGAAAATTGTCTAAGTTACAGTAATGAATGTAAAACGAAAAATAAAATGAGCAATTTAGGTAATACGTTTCAATTCTAGGGAAAAGTGTGTATACCTAACACAGTGAAGTTTTCACATAAAGAACTTTACACTTTTTACACATATATATATACAACAAAAAGGACATGAAACTTTATATTACAAAATACTAAACTTTTAAAATAAGTCCGCCAAACTTTAAAAATACGTTGAACTTTGAAGAAATAACCTAACTTTATATAAAAATATAATCCTTTTACGAAAATTGAACCTGAGAAATGAAAAACCTGAGAGAAAGAGAAAGGATATGAGAAAACTCAAAAATGAACACAAAAAAAAATTAAAATAAAAAATAATACGAATTTAGGAGAAATTTCTTTTTCTACATCTTTAAAGTATACCATTTTCACACTGATTTCGAATCAAAAGGTCGCGCACATATATTGCGTATAATTTGAAGAAAAATTGAGCAGAGAAGTCGGAAAATGTCAGTATCTCTCGAAATAAAAAGTAATAGTAAAAAGTTATCATGAAATCTCTTTTAAGAGAGTGTGGACAATTTTATTTTTTTTCTTCTCTTTTTTTTGAAAAATAAAAGTGTTTTTAGATAGGAAAAGATATAAAATAGAATTTGTGACTTAAAAATTTGACGATCTATTATACAATTTTTCTGTTTTCAAAAATAAATTATTTATATCAAATATTTACATAAATTTGAATTTAAATAATTTACATAAAAAAATAATATTTTTTTTGTGAATTTTTATTTATATATTTTTTTAGTGTTCATTTTTAATTTTTTCCTCTTTCTTTTCTTTCTATAGATTCAATTTTCGTAAAAGGATTATATTTTCATATAGATAAAGTTTCGTTTTCTTCAAAAATTCAACATATTTTTAAAGTTTGGTGGATTTCTAAAAGTTTAGTAATGGAGAACAAAATTTATTCATTTTTTTTTCAAATTCAAATTAAATTGTAAAAATATTGCGTCACGTATTAAGGAATAATTTATAAATAATAATTAATAAAGTAGGATTTTTAATTTTAATTATTTGAAAATTTAGTATTTAAATTTAACAAAAGTAAAAATAGTAAATGTTTTTTTTTCGATTTTTTCAAATCTAATTTAAAATTTCTCAATAAAAAAAATTAAATAAAATCATATTCCGATCAATTTACTTCTTGCACGTATCTCACATTGTTAATTATCTCCCTTTATCATAAATGTTTAAATGTCAAATAGATGAGGCCCCTTTCACAAAAAGAGGAAACATATTGTAATGGAAGTTTTACTCCTTAATTTAGTTTCTTGTTAACGATTTTCTGTGCGCAATTTCCGGTAGTTGAAACTTAAAAGCAACCTGTCACTCTTCAGTTAAATGAATGCTCACGAAAATGTTTAATTTATTCTTTTTTTTATTTTCTCTCTTTCTCAAAAAAAAGACAGAATTTCAATATAAAAATCACTTGAGATTTAAATTAGTTTTACAAGAAAATTTTAAATTAGGAGCTTATTAATATTAATAGCTTTTTCTATTTTTATGAGCTTTTTTACTCTAAAAAAAAAGAAAAGATAATAAAAAAGAAAGAAGAAGAGAAAAGAATGAACGAAAGAAAGAATGTAAAAAATAAGAGAGATAAATTATGTAAAGTTTTCCTTAATGATAAAACTTTTTTTTACTTTTTTTTTATATATGTAATTCCCTTTCGCACGAAAGAAAAAGATAATAGAAAATTTCTCGACGAGGGAGATGTATGTCTGTGTGTCAAAGAGTACTAATCCCAACATTTTAAGTGCGAAAAAGATATCATTTCAAAAGTCGTCGCTTTTTTATAAAATGGATAAAAAATATTCTCCATTCTCGATTATAATCTTATCATCTTATTCCGATTAATTATTCCGATTATTGTGATTAACTAAATTTTTATTCTTTAAGGATTGCGGTTTAGTAATTTCTTCTGACAGTTTCAAATCATATCTCAAAATCGGAGGTAAACCCACAGAAAAAAATATATTTTTAACGCAGAGGCTACTAAATTATTTATTTGTTTTAAAAAAATTATATTTGATTGAAACATATTTTATTTGGTTCAAATAAATTTTAATTTTTCCGAATAAAAATTTTGTCCTAAATTTTCTAAATGCTACTAAATTATTTATTTGTTTCAAATAAATTATATTTAGTTGAAAAATATTTTAATTGCTTGAAATATATTTTATTTCGTTTAAATCAAGTTTATTTAAGTCCAAATCGATTTTATTTGGTTAAATTAATAATTTTGTGCTAAATTCGTTAAAGGTTAAAATTTGGGCTAAATAAAACTATATTTTTACGGCAAATAAATAATTTACTAATACTGAGAAAAAATTTAATTGATTCTAATAATTTGATTATTTGTCTATTATCAAATAAATATTTACTCGAATCAAATGATTTTCATTTAGAAACAAATAATTTGTATTTAAACCAATAATTTTAATATTTAAAGCAGATATAATTTATTTAATTTTAAATTTTAAATAAAAATCATTTGATACAATGAATAAATATTATAAATATTTATTTGTTAAATATAAATTATTTAATAAATAAATATTTATTTGATTTCAAGTAGTGATCGTTTATTTTATGAAATAAATTTTTTTCTTCGTGTAGACTCTCTGTGACAAACATATTTTTAATTGATTTAAATAAATTAAATTTGGATCAAACACTAAAAAAATTTGATTTAAATAACCGACTGTTTGTCTATTATTAAATAAATATTTACTTGAATCAAATAATTTTTATCTTAATCAAACAAATTTGAATCAATAATTAAATGGACCAATAATTTCAGTATTTTAAACAATGACATTTATTTATTATTGTTTTTAATATTATTATTATTTTTTTTTTATTATTTTCATTATTTTTTTTTTATTATTTTTATTATTTTTATTTGATGCAAATAGACACTAATTTAATAATAAACAAGTAAACCTTGATTTGAGTGAAATAAATTTTTTTCCCCAGTGAATAAAATATTTTTCTCTACGGATGTAGGTACATAAAATCAAAATAAGAAATTTTTCATCTAAAAATCTTTAAGTCGAAAGTGTAATTTTTTAAAGTGTCAAAAACTTTCTCGTTAAGCCCAAAAGAAGAAGAAAAAAAAAGTACCACTCAGTAATTTCGTTTTCCGTTGATTGAGGACTGCGATCTTTTAAACTGACAGAAAACGGGGGAGAAAAGCACTCGTGCAAGTAATATAAAAGGTGCACACACCACTCACCGTTTGAATGAAAGATGACAAAATCCATCATCAACACCTTCTCACGCTCACCATTTTTTTTCCTTCTTCTTCTTCTTTTTCCAATGAGATGAATTTCCTCCTTCTTGTCCAAATCGTTTTCATAGAAAATTCGTCCAATTCCTGTGAAAGGACCATGAAAATCATCAAAATTCAATTTTTCTCAACTAAATTTTCGTTTAAGGTGACAATTATTAATATTGTCCAATTATTTCCAACTCCAAAAATAATTGTCCCACACAAGTTTTTTTCAAAAACTCTTTTTCAAAACACAATCACAATATACACTTAAAAAAGATCCTTTTCAGTCTCTTTTCTTTTTTTCAATCAAAAAATTCTTAATTTATCTTCTTTTAAGAAAATATTTTCTTTTTGCAATCATTTTTATTTTTTTCCTTTTTTTTTCAACAATCGAAAACACGAATTTCCTGGGAGCGGGGAAACGGTTGGAAGCAAGTTTTCCGGCGCTGCTACAGGTGTTCGCCGAGACGAAGGAATGAAATCCCGCTATTCAAATGAAACGCAAAAAATGTTTCAAAAACTTTTTTCATTATTTATTTGTCTAATAAACCAGATCATAAAAAACACTTTCGAAACTAAAAAAAAACAATTTTCATTTTTTCTGAAAATTCGAAAAGTCTGGGTATTTTTTTACCCTTGACAAAATTTTTTTTTCGACTTTCGAAATTTTGGCGGTTTTTTTTTTTTATTTCAAAAATAACAGGTAAAGTGAGAGAAGGAGGGAGTGGGGGGCTTTATAATACGCGCGCAGAATAAATGTGCGCATTCAAAAAAGAGAGAGAGTCGAGCTCGACGTTCGTCGTACGACTAGACTGGGACGACGTTCTTGCCGTTGACCCGGAGCTTTTATGCGGCGCTTGCGCTGCACCTCCAAATTATAGCCCTATCCGGAAAACCATCCCACCTATGATGTAACTTATCGTGACGCCCTGCGTCGGTATTCCTCTTGTCTATCACGTTACAGATGTATGTACTCTTACTTTATACTTTGCATACGCGTCGCGCGGCATACGAGGACGACGACTACGAACGACCCTATATCCGAGTCGATTAATGCCTCCAGTTTACTTTGTAAGCAAACGAGAGTATTTCTATTACACACCACTTTCACCTTTCATCGAACTTTTTTTTGTAACAAAAAAAATGAAAAGAATGCAAACTAATCTTCCTATATAGTGTGCATTTTAATTTACATTTGCACACAGAGTAAAAGAAAAAAAAATTTTCAATATGAGATTATTTTTTAATTTGGAAAATTTTCTTTTCAATTTCCTGTGTGTAATTATTTACCATATTATAAATTATGATGTAATAATTTATCATAAAATAATTTATCATATAATTATATTTACATAACTTAAAACCACAGAAAAAAGACGTTTAAATTTATTTTATCGAATATTTTAATACGCAGGGATGCCACGCTTTTGATCTTTTCAAATTCCCTGACTTTTCTAGATTTTCCAGGTTAAAAAACGAAATTTTTCCAGGTATTTACAACGAAAATTATTCAAGAACATGAATAACTTCATTTTTAAATAAATATTTAATCATCATTTTTTTTATAAAAATTAAGATATTCAAAAATTTGAAATTCAAAACTAAGAATATTATTATAAAACTTAAAGATCCTAAAATTCTGAACGTTCAAATGAACGAAATTTATTTATTTCTTCTCCAAATTAAATTTTTATTGCAATTATTTTGCGTCTCTAACCAAAAAATTAATTACTGAGTTTCTAAACGTAAAATTTCAGTTTTTAAATTTGTTTGTGACTAGTAATTTATTAAAATATCTTCAATAAAAAATATTTCGTTCATTTGAACGTTCAAAACCTGGGGATCATAAAACTTACTACTTTGTTACTGTAACTTCTTCAAAAATTATTTTCATTATTACGATTATTTATTTCTAGAATTTTCAACTAAAATTCTTCAATTTTTTTTATAATTTTTGAAAAAGTTCTTTGTGAGTTTTCAAATTCTTTTGATTACAATTTAATTTTACGAAATTTCGTAATTCAATTGCATTGCACAAATAATGAAATTCTTTGCTGAAATTCAAATATTTTCAAAATCTACTATTTTATAATAAAATTTCTCAAAAAAATTCAATTATTTAAAAAAATTATTGATAAAATTCTTTGGAAGAATTCAATTATTTTCATAAACAATAAAATTCTTTACAGGATTTCAATTATTTAAAAAAATTTAATAAAATTTGTTGCAAGACTTCAATTATTTTCATAAATAACAAAAAACTCTTCACCAAATTTCAATTATTTAAAAAAAAATAAAAATTTGTTGCAAGATTCAATTATTTTCCTAAAATAATAAAATTCTTCGAAATATATAATTATTTACAAAAATTTTATTAAAATTCCTCGAAAGAATTCAATTATCAATTAGGTATTTTGAATAATTTTTGCAAAAGTTCCTTGAGAATTTTCAAATCTATTTGTTTTGCAATTCAATTTTACGAAATTTCAATTATTCGGAAATTCTTCAATTAAATGTTTTTTAGAAAATAAAAACTTGAAATAATTTCAAAAGAAAATTTAATTAAACTTTTTAAAAAAAAATTAATTCTATATAATTGTCAGTTAAAATTAAAAGTATAAAAAATTCTAATTTTCAAATATTTTGATTTGAAAATTGAAATCTTTTCCAAATTCAATTATTTGTAAAAATTCATGCTATAATACTATTAATATTCAATTATTATCTAAAACTGAAAAATACATTTTTGAATCAATTTCTATTAGAAAATTCTACAAGAATTCCATCATTTAACTACAAAAATATAAATATTTTATTAAACAATTAAATGTTTCTTAAAATTGAATTTTCATAAAGAATGTTATCAACAAATTTTAATAAAATTTTTAAGAATAATTGCACTTCTCGAGAAATTTGATAAAAATAAATTGTATTAAAAATAATTGAAATTCTGCCAAGAATTTTGTTAAAAGTTTTGAAAATAATTGAATTTCAGAGAAAAATGTTATTATTTATAAAGATATAATTGAAATTTTGACGAAAATTTTTGTAAACTTTTAAACATATAATTAGATTTTTGCGAAGAATTTTATTTAAATTATTTTGAAAAAATTGAATTGTTACGCAAAGAATTTCATAAAAATTTTTGAAAATAATTTTATTCTTTAAAGACATTTAATTAAAAATGTATTGAAAATAATACTTAAATTCTAATAAATAAATTGTAGCAAAGTTAATCATTAGTATATTTACATAATTTTAAATCAAAATCTTTTGAAGTTCATCTATACTTATGAAAATTGTAAACGCAATTCTTTTAAAATTGAATTAATTTTGAAATAATTAAGTGAAATTAGATTTCAAGAACATCCACAATAACTTTAGAAAACAACAATTTTCCAGGATTTCGATCAAAATTCCCTGACTTTTCCAGGTTCTCAACATTTTTTTTAAATAATTGAATTCTTTTGAAAAAAATTATTAAAATAGTAGATATTAAAAATCATTGAATTAAGGAAAATTTTTGAAAATAATTGAAGTTTTGCCAAAAATTTTATTAAAATTTTTGAAAATAATTGAATTTTGGAGAAGAATTTTATTACCTATTTTTAAAGATAATTATAATTTTGACAAGAATTTTTTTAAATTTTTGAAAATAATTGAATTTCTGCAATTATTTGTAACCTCTCCAAAATTCAATTTTTTCCAGTACTTTAATAAAAAATCCCTGACTTTTCCCTGATTTCCCTGACTGATTTTTCTTTTTCTAACTTATTCCTGATTTCCCTGATCTGTGGCAACCCGTACGCTATCAAACAATCAAAAATTTGGGAGGAAAGACTTTTGAATTTATTTTTTCTAATTCTAATAATTTTTTTGAGTTGGTAATCACCTGAATCATTTCGTTTATGAGCGAGTTTTGTTGCTCTCTATTGGATAATTACAGATTAATATTGGCGCAAAATTCAAATCGAATGAAATAAGAAAAAAAGTTTTTGAGAATAAAATGAAGAATTTTTCTACTCTATTAATTCTAATAAAAAGTGGGACAAATAAACTATTTTATTATTATACCATCTCATCGCAAGAGAAAATATAATTTTTTCTTCATACTCTATAGTGGTCTAATAAAACTACAATGATACGAGATATAAAAACACAAAAAATGATGAATAATTTGTCACTTTTTGAGAAGACGAATTCATAAAGTGAATGAGTGTTTTAAAAATGAAATTTCGAATCTCCTATAACTATGGAGCGTGAATATATACAAAATTTAAGTATATACACTCACATACGTGTGGTTGGACCATGAGAAGATGAAACTTTAACGACAGATGAGAGACGAGTGACATGAAAGTAGATTCCTAATTATTTCAAGAACTCCAAAGACACTTTTCACGAGTTATGACGACAAATTGAATGTATTTTTAATTTCATCAAGAGGAGTCAAAGGTTTTTTTTTCAAAACTTTTAAAGCAATAAAAATAGACTAAAAAGAAAATAGAAAAATTAATTTACAGCTATAAACTAAAAATTCAATTTATAAATATTCCTTTTTCAATTACTTGACTTATAAAATCAATACCGTGTAATTTAAATTATTTAATTTCGTAAAAAAAGAATTTCTATAATAAATCAAAGGTAATTTTATTTACTTTTTTTTTCTCTATATACTCATTTATCACTAGTTCGTTACTGTCAATCCTATTTTTATTTAATCATTATTTACCATTCGAATTGACAATCAGTATTTGATGAAACAAAATTTTTTCTTCATTTTCTAAATTGTAACAAAAGTCAATTTTGCTCGTACGAATTCCAGAACCGTCCAAACTGATTTCAAATTAAACTACTTGTCCCTTTTCCGTGAATCTAAAACGAATCGATCTCTTCTATTTTCAATTAAAATTTACAAAAACAAAAAGAAACAGAATTTTCGAAAAAAACACTATTGTCTCCATTCTACTTTTGTGAAGTTTACAACTTTTATAATCAACGATTTAGAAAACAAAATATTTTTAAAAAATTTTTATAAATCAGTGAGAATTGTTAGTTTAAATTTAGAGAATAACGAATTCATATAACAGTGTAAATAATAGTAATTTACATAATAATTTAGTAACAACAAATTATATTAACACCATATAATTATCATTCAAATAAATCATTTCGATGGGAATTGGATCCTTGAATATCAATCTATTATTATCAAACCATATAATTATCACTAATTGTTAGATCACTTTGGCATTACTGTTTGAATACTTACTTTAATGCGCATTGCTTAATTGAAATAAAATTAAAACAAAATTCAACAAAAAAATAAAAATATTATCGAAAAAACCTGAATAATGAAATAAACACTGAATATTTAATTCAATTTTCACTGTTTAATAATCTAAATTAGTTAAAAAAAAACCCGATTGTTAGTAAAATGATGACTGCCTTTTTGTTTTAGTAATTATTAAAAAACAACAAATTAGTTCTTTATAAAAGAAAAGTATTAAATTTTATAGTTTTCTTTATTTTTAAATAAAAAGCGACAATTTCCCATTTGATATAATAATTAATTTTCTTTGAATTAAACTTTCTCTGAAAGCATTTTTTGTGAATGCAATTCTATTTTTCTTTATAATAATAATAAAAAAAAACATTCTGTAACTTTTATTATTAGAAATAACTTTATTTCCTACCAGTTTATCCTTCTCGACCTACTTGAAAAAAAATATAAAACTAGCAGTATATTTAAAGATATATATTTTTCTTTAAATTTTCGTGCGGTAAAGAAAAAAAAAATTTTGTTCATTGTGTGCAACTTCTAATTTTCACCGAGTCTCAACAATTTACTTTGTTATCTTCTTTTCTCTATTTACTTTCTCCTCTGCGTTTCTTTGTAACTTCAACGTTCCCTCATCCCTTTCTTTTTTTCCACTGATATCCCTATTTTCCCTCAATATATATATATATATATATATATATATATATATATATATATATATATATATATGTATATATCCTATATATATTTACATAGTACATATATGAGTATCATTTTCTACTTCAGTAATGTTCCTTCCATTTTCCTTTTTCTGCAT